TTTAAAAATTAACTTAATCTAAACTATGGCGAACTATAACGTTCTTTCTTTAACTATGGGCCAAAAAGTAATTAAATTTTCTCGACATTTCTGTTTTAAAATTAAATAAATCTAAACTATGGCAAACTATGGCGACCTCTCTTGAACCAAGAAGAAAGTTAAAGAAGACGACCAAGAAGAAGATAAATTTTATGGCCATTAAAGTTTAAATATTATATAAATCTAAACTATAAGCATACTTTGGCCAACTATAGCGACCTCTCTTGAACTGCGGGAAGAGTCAAATCAAATTTTCTAGCCATTTATATTTGAAAATTAAATAACTCTAAACTATGGCGACCTCTCTTGATCCAAGAAGAAGACCAAGAAGAAGTTAAATTTTCTGGCCATAAAGTTTAAAAATTAAATAAATCTAAACTATGGTCAAACTATGGCGACCTCTCTTGAACTTTAGGCCAAGAAGAAGTTAAATTTTCTGGCTATTTCAGTATTAAAATTAAATAAATATAAACTATCAGTAAACTATGGCGAACTATGGCGACCTCTCTTGAACCAAGAAGAAAGTTAAAGAAGAAGACCAAGAAGAAGTTAAATTTTCTGGCCATAAAGTTTAAAAATTAAATAAATCTAAACTATGGGCAAACTATTGCGACCTCTCTTGAACCAAGAAGAAAGTTAAATAAGAAGACCAAGAAGAAGTTAAATTTTCTGGCCATTAAAATTTAAATATTATATAAATCTAAACTATAAGCATACTTTGGCGAACTATAGCGACCTCTCTTGAACTGCGGGAAGAGTCAAATCAAATTTTCTAGCCATTTATATTTGAAAATTAAATAACTCTAAACTATGGCGACCTCTCTTGAACCAAGAAGAAGACCAAGAAGAAGTTAAATTTTCTGGCCATTAAAGTTTAAAAATTAAATAAATCTAAACTTTGGTCAAACTATGGCGACCTCTCTTGAACTTTAGGCCAAGAAGAAGTTAAATTTTCTGGCCATTTCAGTTTTAAAATTAAATAAATATAAACTATGGGTAAACTATGGCGAACTATGGCGACCTCTCTTGAACCAAGAAGAAAGTTAAAGAAGAAGACCAAGAAGAAGTTAAATATTCTGGCCATTAAAGTTTAAAAATTAAATAAATCTAAACTATGGGCATACTTTGGCGAACAATAGCGACCTCTCTTAAACTGCGGGAAGAGTCAAAACAAATTTTCTGACCATTAAAGTTTAAAAATTAACTTAATCTAAACTATGGCGAACTATAACGTTCTTTCTTTAACTATGGGCCAAAAAGTAATTAAATTTTCTCGACATTTCTGTTTTAAAATTAAATAAATCTAAACTATGGCAAACTATGGCGACCTCTCTTGAACCAAGAAGAATGTTAAAGAAGACGACCAAGAAGAAGATAAATTTTATGGCCATTAAAGTTTAAATATTATATAAATCTAAACTATAAGCATACTTTGGCCAACTATAGCGACCTCTCTTGAACTGCGGGAAGAGTCAAATCAAATTTTCTAGCCATTTATATTTGAAAATTAAATAACTCTAAACTATGGCGACCTCTCTTGAACCAAGAAGAAGACCAAGAAGAAGTTAAATTTTCTGGCCATAAAGTTTAAAAATTAAATAAATCTAAACTATGGTCAAACTATGGCGACCTCTCTTGAACTTTAGGCCAAGAAGAAGTTAAATTTTCTGGCTATTTCAGTATTAAAATTAAATAAATATAAACTATCAGTAAACTATGGCGAACTATGGCGACCTCTCTTGAACCAAGAAGAAAGTTAAAGAAGAAGACCAAGAAAAAGTTAAATTTTCTGACCATTTCAGTTTTAAAATTAAATAAATATAAACTATGGGCAAACTATTGCGACCTCTCTTGAACCAAGAAGAAAGTTAAATAGGAAGACCAAGAAGAAGTTAAATTTTCTGGCCATTAAAGTTTAAATATTATATAAATCTAAACTATAAGCATACTTTGGCCAACTATAGCGACCTCTCTTGAACTGCGGGAAGAGTCAAATCAAATTTTCTAGCCATTTATATTTGAAAATTAAATAACTCTAAACTATGGCGACCTCTCTTGAACCAAGAAGAAGACCACGAAGAAGTTATATTTTCTGGCCATAAAGTTTAAAAATTAAATAAATCTAAACTATGGTCAAACTATGGCGACCTCTCTTGAACTTTAGGCCAAGAAGCAGTTAAATTTTCTGTCCATTTCAGTTTTAAAATTAAATAAATATAAACTATGAGCAAACTATGGCGAACTATAGCAATCTCTCTTGAACTATAGGCCAAGAAGAAGTTTAGTTTTCTGGCAACTTTAGTTTTAAAATTAAATAAATCTAAACAATGGCGAACTATGGCGACCTCTCTTGAACCAGGAAGAAAGTTAAAGAAGAAGACCAAGAAGAAGTTAAATTTTCTGGCCATTAAAGTTTAAAAATTAAATAAATCTAAACTATGGTCAAACTATGGCGACCTCTCTTGAACTATAGGCCAAAAAGAAGTTAAATTTTCTGGCCATAAAGTTTAAAAATTAAATAAATATAAACTATGGGTAAACTATGGGCAAACTATTGCGACCTCTCTTGAACCAAAAAGAAAGTTAAATAAGAAGACCAAGAAGAAGTTAAATTTTCTGGCCATTAAAATTTAAATATTATATAAATCTAAACTATAAGCATACTTTGGCCAACTATAGCGACCTCTCTTGAACTGCGGGAAGAGTCAAATCAAATTTTCTAGCCATTTATATTTGAAAATTAAATAACTCTAAACTATGGCGACCTCTCTTGATCCAAGAAGAAGACCAAGAAGAAGTTATATTTTCTGGCCATAAAGTTTAAAAATTAAATAAATCTAAACTATGGTCAAACTATGGCGACCTCTCTTGAACTTTAGGCCAAGAAGAAGTTAAATTTTCTGTCCATTTCAGTTTTAAAATTAAATAAATATAAACTATGAGCAAACTATGGCGAACTATAGCAATCTCTCTTGAACTATAGGCCAAGAAGAAGTTTAGTTTTCTGGCAACTTTAGTTTTAAAATTAAATAAATCTAAACAATGGCGAACTATGGCGACCTCTCTTGAACCAGGAAGAAAGTTAAAGAAGAAGACCAAGAAGAAGTTAAATTTTCTGGCCATTAAAGTTTAAAAATTAAATAAATCTAAACTATGGTCAAACTATGGCGACCTCTCTTGAACTATAGGCCAAAAAGAAGTTAAATTTTCTGGCCATAAAGTTTAAAAATTAAATAAATATAAACTATGGGTAAACTATGGGCAAACTATTGCGACCTCTCTTGAACCAAAAAGAAAGTTAAATAAGAAGACCAAGAAGAAGTTAAATTTTCTGGCCATTAAAATTTAAATATTATATAAATCTAAACTATAAGCATACTTTGGCGAACTATAGCGACCTCTCTTGAACTGCGGGAAGAGTCAAATCAAATTTTCTAGCCATTTATATTTGAAAATTAAATAACTCTAAACTATGGCGACCTCTCTTGAACCAAGAAGAAGACCAAGAAGAAGTTAAATTTTCTGGCCATTTCAGTTTTAAAATTAAATAAATATAAACTATGGGTAAACTATGGCGAACTATGGCGACCTCTCTTGAACCAAGAAGAAAGTTAAAGAAGAAGACCAAGAAGAAGTTAAATTTTCTGGCCATTTCAGTTTTAAAATTAAATAAATCTAAACTATGGGCAAACTATTGCGACCTCTCTTGAACCAAGAAGAAAGTTAAATAAGAAGACCAAGAAGAAGTTAAATTTTCTGGCCATTAAAGTTTATATATTAAATAAATCTAAACTATAAGCATACTTTGGCGAACTATAGCGACCTGTCTTGAACCAAGAAGAAGACCAAGAAAAAGTTTAATTTTCTGGCCATTAATGTTTAAAAATTAAATAAATCTAAACTATGGTCAAACTATGGCGACCTCTCTTGAACTATAGGCCAAGAAGAAGTTAAATTTTCAGGCCATTTCAGTTTTAAAATTAAATAAATATAAACTATGAGCAAACTATGGCGAACTATAGCAATCTCTCTTGAACTATGGGCCAAGAAGAAATTAAATTTTCTGGCCATTTCAGTTTTAAAATTAAATAAATCTAAACTGTAGAGGACTATGGCAACCTCTCTTGAACTATAGGCCAAGAAGAAGTAAATTTTCTGGCCATTTCAGTTTTAAAATTAAATAAATATAAACTATGAGCAAACTATGGCGAACTATAGCAATCTCTCTTGAACTATGGGCCAAGAAGAAGTTAAATTTTTTGTCCATTTCAGGTTTAAAAGTAAATAATTATAAACTATGGCGAACTATGGCGACCTCTCTTGAACTATAGGCCAAGAAGAAGTTAAATTTTCTGGCAACTTTAGTTTTAAAATTAAATAAATCTAAACAATTGTGGGGAATAGCTATCGCGTGGCTTCCCCTCGTACCCCCCAACTCGAAGAGAGGAGAAATGACGAAGGTATGTGAGTGAACGGCGACAGCAGAAAGTAATTTTAGTAAGAATCGAGACGTCGATCTATCAAGCAGTTTTATATTTTTAATTATTCATCTGTCGACTCTTTACATCGACATGATGATTTATTATAATAAATAATCTTATTGTTGAATTATGAGTCGTTTAATTGATTAATTCTTGAGAACACGCTCGTGTGGAAATTCTTTCGGATATTATTAAATTAATATATTAAATTTCCCACATTGGTGACCCCGACGTGATGTCGGAAAATCGCGTTCTAAAAGAATCGAGAATTATTGGAAAATTGTGAAATCATCCGTGAATTATTCGCTCAAATTCGAATTAACAAAAATTCGATTTTTAATTTTGTTGGGTTATTTTAAACCCAGTATTTCATGGAAGTGATAAATTTCGCATAATAAAACACGGCCTCGTGTTCGACCACGCCGCCGCCATTTTTCTTTCACAACACTCATCACAAATATTCGACTCCAACAACTTTACCTTGGATTCCACCACATGGGAATTGGAACTTTGGAAATAATATTGAGACAACAATCCATTTTTAACTGCTTTTTAATCTATGGACACTTATCGATATTCATGATAGGACTTCACCAATGACTACCTGACTTGGTTGATGACGTCACATATAACAGCATGGTGTTGAGCTCCTGATCTTCTTGATTATTATACGCTTTTTAAAAACGGCGCATGGGCACTCTACTCCGAGCCCATGCAACAGGTATGGTTATTTTTCTTTTTCCTGTTTTGCAAATTAACAGTTTTTGAAATTCTTCGCCGCCTGATGTGTCGTACCTATTTTATTTACATACGAGCTGTCATTTTTGGAGAATTTCCGGTTTTGGTGGGCCCGCCGACTCCGGTGACTTATCTTGACAGTCAACTAAGGCTTTCCAGGCGGATCATCAGGAAATCAGTACAATTATATTTTTGGGAGGACCAACGCTCTTTTCACCTGTCAAACGTAGCTCTTCATGGAGCTTGTCATCGTCTTTTGTGAAGTCATCATCTTCGGAAGGAGTTATTCAGTATTTTCGACCATTTTATTTTTTTTTTTTTATATTAATTTCATTTTACTTTCTGCTTGTGTAAGTACTGTGTTGTATGAGTGAAAATTTTTCGTGCATTTTGAGTCCTTGATACCAAATGAAAAATTTTGATATTTATATTATCTTCAAAATATTTTCGACGATTAATATTTAATATATACTTACAATTTTAGGCAAGTTATATTTTCTTATTTTCATTTTACGACAAATTTAATTTAAACTCCGAAATCGAAACATTCGAGATTATTATTTTCTTTGACAAACGAATTTTAATTTTCAAGGTTAATTTTGTTTTGAGGCATTGTCAATATGAAGATTGTATTAAGTACACCTGATTTTATCGATAATTTTGTCTGGTTTTGTATCTTTATTTTCATTGTACGATTGACAACTTTTGATTTAAACTCTTTTCTTATAAATATTATAAACGAATATTTCTAATTCAAGATAATTTTTCGGCGATTTCTTTCTTTTTTTTAACCATCGACTACTTTCGGTTTTTGTCTTGCGAGGGAGCGTTATCACGTTTTAGATTCTCGTTTAAAATTTTTGTTTATTTTTCGGAACAAAATGAGTCTCACTGACGAGGCGCTCGTGAAAAGTCAACAAATTGTCTTTGGTGAAGGTTCGCAATCGCAACAACAACCAGGAAATATTCCGCTTCAAGATCCTAATCGTCAACACGAATTTGGGATGTTTCCGGGTCAAGCACATGTCGATGCCTCTTATCGAATTCCAAAACTTTCTAATTTCTTCCGCGAGGATCCAGTCCTTTGGTTTGCTCAGGTTGAATTAGCTTTTGAATATTCTCGTATAACATCAGAACGCTCTAGGGCTGGTGCCGTCGTGTCCTCCTTTGATTGTGAGGTTCTTCAAGTGATTGGTGATTTGATAACATCCGTGAACCCCATTCCTAATTTGTATACTCGAATTAAGGAACGAATTATCGAGAATTTTGCCGTTTCTCCTGAAAATGAATTACGTAGTATTTTGAAGGGCGATTCTTTCGGAGACGGTAAACCTTCCGCCATTTTGAATAAAATCAGACACCTGAGTCGAGGTCGATGCAGCGAAGAAGTTTTAAAATCGATATTTTTAGAGCATTTACCATCCGGATGTCGATCAATTTTAGCTGTATCCGATACAATGGATCTTACTCGCCTAGCAACTCTTGCCGATAAAATAATGGAGAATGGTTTTTCTCAAAATCCTTCAGTTTCATCCATTTCAAACGCCAAAATCGACCAGACTCAATTAGACGTTATTAAAAGGGTCGACGCAATTGTCTCTCGACTCGAGGCAGTTTCTTTCGGGGAGCGAGGTCGAAATCATTTCTTTAAAGGTCGTTCTCCGGGAGGTCGTGACAGGTCGCGATCCCGTTCTCAATCTAGATTCGAAAATAAGCGAAGATCACGGTCTGGGAATTCATCCGGATCATATTGTTTTTATCACAATAGATTTGGCAAAAAAGCCAATAAATGTAAACCACCTTGTACCTTTATTAATTCTCATTCGGAAAACTAGAGACCCCACTGCATCATAACGAAATCACCTTAGCTTCGAAACGTCTTTTTATACGAGACCGAGATTCCGGATTCACTTTCCTCATAGATTCTGGATCGGATATCTCTATCATTCCAGCGAACCGCGAAGACAAAATTAAATCCGTCAAATCAGTGCTTTATGCTGCCAATAATTCAATCATAAACACTTTTGGCGAACGCCGATTGATTTTGAATTTTGGTCTTCGTCGGCTTCTTAAATGGAATTTTACTGTAGCATCCGTTCCCTACCCTATCATTGGGGCGGATCTACTTTCAACATTCGGTGTTTGCGTTGATCTTCGAGGTAGGAGATTAATTGACACTCATTCCGGCATTGTATCGGTTGGTGTCATGAAATCGGCTCCTTTTTGTGATGTCAGTGTGGTTGATAATTCTTCTAAATTCACAAAAATTTTAAAAAATTTCCTAAATCTAACAGGTCTTTCTGAATCCAATGGAATTTCATCTGGTAATGTGCAACATCATATTTTAACAACCGGTCCCCCTGTTGCAGAACGTTCACGTCGTCTCTCTTCTGAGAAGCTGTCTGTGGCCAAGGCATTTTTTCAGAAATTAGAGAAAGAAAAAAAGTGTCGTCGTTCTAGCGCAAGTTGGGCTGCACCTCTTCATCTTGTCCCAAAAAAGAACGGTGGTTGGAGAGTTTGTGGCGATTATCGCCGGCTAAATTCGGTAACGATTCCGGATCGTTATCCTGTTCCTTTCATTCAAGATGTTTCTTCAATGCTTTTCGGAAAGAAAATATTTTCTTCTCTTGATTTAGAATCCGCTTACAATCAAATCCCTATTGCTCCGGATGATATTCCTAAAACAGCCGTGATAACTCCATTTGGATTATTTGAATTTACTGTTATGACGTTTGGCCTGCGTAATGCAGGACAAACGTTTCAACGCTTTTTACATCAAACACTCGGCGATTTAGATTTTGTATTCTCGTACATAGACGATCTTCTCATTGCATCCTCTTGTGAAATGGAGCATGAGAAACACCTTCACATTGTTTTCGAACGTCTTGACCAAGCTGGTCTTAAATTGAATCTTGAAAAGTGTAATTTCGGTAAGTCTGAAATTGAATTTCTCAGATACCTAATTAACAAGGATGGAATCTGTCCTCCACCCGAAAAGGTGAAAGCGATCCTCGATTTTCCGAAGCCTAAAAACATTCTTGAGTTGAGAAGATTTTTGGGACTCATGAATTTTTATCGAAAATGTTTGCCTAACGTGGCTGAAATACAAAAACCGATAAATTCTTACCTTCACGATTCACGGAAGAACGACAAACGCGAAGTTTTGTGGACACCTCGTGCCGAGGAGGCATTCGAGAAGTGCAGGTCTTCTGTGGCCAACGCTACCTTATTAGTTCATCCATCCATTGACTCACCTACGCGCGTTGTATCAGACGCATCAGACTCAGGCATGGGTGCTTCTCTCGAACAATTTCAGCATAATATTTGGAAACCTTTGGCTTTCTTCTCGAGGAGTTTTACCCCGACACAAAAAAAGTATAGTACTTACGATAGAGAGTTGACAGGTTGTCACGAAGCCGTAAAGTGCTTTAGACATGAATTAGAGGGACGAGAATTTCATCTGGTCACTGACCACAAACCCCTGATTTATGCCTTTTCTCAAAAGTCGGAAAAAGCCTCTCCTAGACAGCAGAGACAATTATCCTTTCTATCTCAATTTACGACAAATATTAAATATATTCCCGGTCCTGAAAATGTAGTCGCTGACAGTTTGTCGCGTGTCGATTCAATACGTCTTGCGACGAACGTTAGCTTAAACGAGCTTTCTGAGGCTCAAAGAACGGATACCGAACTAGATAATCTTATTAAGGACAAAACAACATCCTTGAATCTCAAACGCATGCTCTGGGGTACTGATCACACCCCAGTAATATGCGATTTATCAGGTGAGACTCTTCGACCTTATGTCCCAGAAATCTTTCGTAGACGTATCTTTGATATTTTTCACGAAAAATCACATCCTAGCGCAAAAGTCACTTGTCGAACTATACTGAAAAGTTATGTTTGGCCGAATATTAATAAGAATATAAAAGAATGGTGTCGAAATTGTATTAATTGTCAGAAAGCCAAAATTTCACGTCATAATATTTTATTGCCCTCACATTTCGTTTCTCCTGAACAAAGGTTCCGCCACGTTCATATGGACATCGTCGGTCCTTTGCCTCTATGCGATGGATTTAGGTATTGTTTTACCATGATCGACCGTTTTTCTCGTTGGGCGGAAGCAATTCCATTAAAAGACATAGAAGCAAAAACCATATATCGCGCGTTTGTGGATAACTGGATATCCCGATTTGGCACCCCTGAAAGGATTACGACTGATCAGGGAAAACAATTCGAGGCACGAATTTTTTCATCCTTATTGCATCTTTCTGGTTGTCATCGCGTGCGAACCACCGCATATCACCCAGCTTCTAATGGGATGATTGAGCGGTGGCACCGCACCCTGAAAGCGGCAATTATGTGCCATTCTGATAAAAAATGGACGCAAGTCCTTTCTACAGTCTTGTTGGGACTTAGGACGGCTGTGCTTGACTCGGGGGCATCTCCCGCCGAATACCTATACGGAACCACTTTGAGAATTCCTGGCGAATTCGTTCTCCCAGAGGAATTTGCGGCAAACCCGCAAATTTTTCTTGAAGAGTTTCGCGAGCATATGCGCCTCGTCAAACCCGTCCCCGTGGTACATAAACATAAAAGAAACATTTTTGTTTTCAAAGATATGAGTACATGTTCACATGTTTTTCTCCGTGTCGGAACATTAAAACGATCTTTAGAAAGTCCATATTCGGGACCTTATAAGGTTCTCGATAGGATTTCTGATCGAGTCTACGAGATTGAAGTTAACGGGCAGAGTAAAAGAATATCGGTAGAGAACTTGAAGCCAGCTCATTTCGCTCGCGAAGATCTGTTAATCACGAATAAAAATTCGGGAGATGATAACGTTGATGGCGTTCCCTTGCTGGATATTCAGTTACCAAATATTTCTACTCCTCAGGAGAATTTCGCGCAAAATACTGTAATTATACCTTCAACAAGCGATATAACTCCTCGCAACCAAAATCTTGTAATTATACCTCCGACTATTGGCAAATCGCCTTGTATTGATAATTGTGTGAATCTTCCTCCGCTAAAAACTTATTCGAATAAGAAAAAGAGCGTTACTTTTAACTTTTCTTTCGCAGATCACAGTTACTCAAAAAAATAGAGTCTAGGAAACTAGTATTTTCGAACATCATGTGATATTTTAGTTAGCAACTTTTGATTTGAAAACAAATAATATTTTTACTAAAAATTGTTGTAATTATAGTTAAAATTTTTTTTTTAATTTTTTATTTAAACTATATCGTTGACACTGGGGGGGGGAGTATGTGGGGAATAGCTATCGCGAGGCTTCCCCTCGTACCCCCCAACTCGAAGAGAGGAGAAATGACGAAGGTATGTGAGTGAACGGCGACAGCAGAAAGTAATTTTAGTAAGAATCGAGACGTCGATCTATCAAGCAGTTTTATATTTTTAATTATTCATCTGTCGACTCTTTACATCGACATGATGATTTATTATAATAAATAATCTTATTGTTGAATTATGAGTCGTTTAATTGATTAATTCTTGAGAACACGCTCGTGTGGAAATTCTTTCGGATATTATTAAAATAATATATTAAATTTCCCACACAATGGCGAACTATGGCGACCTCTCTTGAACCAGGAAGAAAGTTAAAGAAGAAGACCAAGAAGAAGTTAAATTTTCTGGCCATTAAAGTTTTGAGATTAAATAAATATAAACTATGGGCAAACTATTGCGACCTCTCTTGAACCAAGAAGAAAGTTAAATAAGAAGACCAAGAAGAAGTTAAATTTTCTGGCCATTAAAGTTTAAATATTATATAAATCTAAACTATAAGCATACTTTGGCGAACTATAGCGACCTCTCTTGAACTGCGGGAAGAGTCAAATCAAATTTTCTAGCCATTTATATTTGAAAATTAAATAACTCTAAACTATGGCGACCTCTCTTGAACCAAGAAGAAGACCAAGAAGAAGTTAAATTTTCTGGCCATTAAAGTTTAAAAATTAAATAAATCTAAACTATGGTCAAACTATGGCGACCTCTCTTGAACTATAGGCCAAGAAGAAGTTAAATTTTCTGGCCATTAAAGTGTAAAAATTAAATAAATCTAAACTATGGTCAAACTATGGCGACCTCTCTTGAACTATAGGCCAAGAAGAAGTTAAATTTTCTGGCCATTTCAGTTTTAAAATTAAATAAATCTAAACTATGGGCAAACTATTGCGACCTCTCTTGAACCAAGAAGAAAGTTAAATAAGAAGACCAAGAAGATGTTAAATTTTCTGGCCATTAAAGTTTAAATATTATATAAATCTAAACTATAAACATACTTTGGCGAACTATAGCGACCTCTCTTGAACTGCGGGAACAGTCAAATCAAATTTTCTAGCCATTTATATTTGAAAATTAAATAACTCTAAACTATGGCGACCTCTCTTGAACCAAGAAGAAGACCAAGAAGAAGTTAAATTTTCTGGCCATTAAAGTTTAAAAATTAAATAAATCTAAACTTTGGTCAAACTATGGCGACCTCTCTTGAACTTTAGGCCAAGAAGAAGTTAAATTTTCTGGCCATTTCAGTTTTAAAATTAAATAAATATAAACTATGGGTAAACTATGGCGACCTCTCTTGAACCAAGAAGAAAGTTAAATAAGAAGACCAAGAAGAAGTTAAATTTTCTGGCCATTAAAGTTTAAATATTATATAAATCTAAACTATAAGCATACTTTGGCGGACTATAGCGACCTCTCTTGAACTGCGGGAAGAGTCAAATCAAATTTTCTAGCCATTTATATTTGAAAATTAAATAACTCTAAACTATGGCGACCTCTCTTGAACCAAGAAGAAGACCAAGAAGAAGTTAAATTTTCTGGCCATTAAAGTTTAAAAATTAAATAAATCTAAACTATGGTCAAACTATGGCGACCTCTCTTGAACTATAGGCCAAGAAGAAGTTAAATTTTCTGGCCATTAAAGTGTAAAAATTAAATAAATCTAAACTATGGTCAAACTATGGCGACCTCTCTTGAACTATAGGCCAAGAAGAAGTTAAATTTTCTGGCCATTTCAGTTTTAAAATTAAATAAATCTAAACTATGGGCAAACTATTGCGACCTCTCTTGAACCAAGAAGAAAGTTAAATAAGAAGACCAAGAAGAAGTTAAATTTTCTGGCCATTAAAGTTTAAATATTATATAAATCTAAACTATAAACATACTTTGGCGAACTATAGCGACCTCTCTTGAACTGCGGGAAGAGTCAAATCAAATTTTCTAGCCATTTATATTTGAAAATTAAATAACTCTAAACTATGGCGACCTCTCTTGAATCAAGAAGAAGACCAAGAAGAAGTTAAATTTTCTGGCCATTAAAGTTTAAAAATTAAATAAATCTAAACTATGGTCAAACTATGGCGACCTCTCTTGAACTATAGGCCAAGAAGAAGTTAAATTTTCTGGCCATTAAAGTGTAAAAATTAAATAAATCTAAACTATGGTCAAACTATGGCGACCTCTCTTGAACTATAGGCCAAGAAGAAGTTAAATTTTCTGGCCATTTCAGTTTTAAAATTAAATAAATCTAAACTATGGGCAAACTATTGCGACCTCTCTTGAACCAAGAAGAAAGTTAAATAAGAAGACCAAGAAGAAGTTAAATTTTCTGGCCATTAAAGTTTAAATATTATATAAATCTAAACTATAAACATACTTTGGCGAACTATAGCGACCTCTCTTGAACTGCGGGAACAGTCAAATCAAATTTTCTAGCCATTTATATTTGAAAATTAAATAACTCTAAACTATGGCGACCTCTCTTGAACCAAGAAGAAGACCAAGAAGAAATTAAATTTTCTGGCCATTTCATTTTTAAAATTAAATAAATATAAACTATGAGCAAACTATGGCGAACTATAGCAATCTCTCTTGAACTATGGGCCAAGAAGAAGTTAAATTTTTTGTTTATTTCAGGTTTAAAATTAAATAATTCTAAACTATGGCGAACTATGGCGACCTCTCTTGAACTATAGGCCAAGAAGAAGTTTAGTTTTCTGGCAACTTTAGTTTTAAAATTAAATAAATCTAAACAATGGCGAACTATGGCGACCTCTCTTGAACCAGGAAGAAAGTTAAAGAAGAAGACCAAGAAGAAGTTAAATTTTCTGGCCATTAAAGTTTAAAAATTAAATAAATCTAAACTATGGTCAAACTATGGCGACCTCTCTTGAACTATAGGCCAAGAAGAAGTTAAATTTTCTGGCCATAAAGTTTAAAAATTAAATAAATATAAACTATGGGTAAACTATGGGCAAACTATTGCGACCTCTCTTGAACCAAGAAGAAAGTTAAATAAGAAGACCAAGAAGAAGTTAAATTTTCAGGCCATTAAAATTTAAATATTATATAAATCTAAACTATAAGCATACTTTGGCGAACTATAGCGACCTCTCTTGAACTGCGGGAAGAGTCAAATCAAATTTTCTAGCCATTTATATTTGAAAATTAAATAACTCTAAACTATGGCGACCTCTCTTGAACCAAGAAGAAAGTTAAATAAGAAGACCAAGAAGAAGTTAAATTTTCAGGCCATTAAAATTTAAATATTATATAAATCTAAACTATAAGCATACTTTGGCGAACTATAGCGACCTCTCTTGAACTGCGGGAAGAGTCAAATCAAATTTTCTAGCCATTTATATTTGAAAATTAAATAACTCTAAACTATGGCGACCTCTCTTGAACCAAGAAGAAGACCAAGAAGAAGTTAAATTTTCTGGCCATTAAAGTTTAAAAATTAAATAAATCTAAACTTTGGTCAAACTATGGCGACCTCTCTTGAACTTTAGGCCAAGAAGAAGTTAAATTTTCTGGCCATTTCAGTTTTAAAATTAAATAAATATAAACTATGGGTAAACTATGGCGACCTCTCTTGAACCAAGAAGAAAGTTAAAGAAGAAGACCAAGAAGAAGTTAAATATTCTGGCCATTAAAGTTTAAAAATTAAATAAATCTAAACTATGGGCATACTTTGGCAAACAATAGCGACCTCTCTTAAACTTCGGGAAGAGTCAAAACAAAATTTCTGACCATTTATATTTGAAAATTAAATAACTCTAAACTATGGCGACCTCTCTTGAACCAAGAAGAAGACCAAGAAGAAGTTAAATTTTCTGGCCATAAAGTTTAAAAATTAAATAAATCTAAACTATGGTCAAACTATGGCGACCTCTCTTGAACTTTAGGCCAAGAAGAAGTTAAATTTTCTGGCTATTTCAGTATTAAAATTAAATAAATATAAACTATGAGTAAACTATGGCGAACTATGGCGACCTCTCTTGAACCAAGAAGAAAGTTAAAGAAGAAGACCAAGAAAAAGTTAAATTTTCTGACCATTTCAGTTTTAAAATTAAATAAATATAAACTATGGGCAAACTATTGCGACCTCTCTTGAACCAAGAAGAAAGTTAAATAGGAAGACCAAGAAGAAGTTAAATTTTCTGGCCATTAAAGTTTAAATATTATATAAATCTAAACTATAAGCATACTTTGGCGAACTATAGCGACCTCTCTTGAACTGCGGGAAGAGTCAAATCAAATTTTCTAGCCATTTATATTTGAAAATTAAATAACTCTAAACTATGGCGACCTCTCTTGAACCAAGAAGAAGACCAAGAAGAAGTTAAATTTTCTGGCCATTAAAGTTTAAAAATTAAATAAATCTAAACTATGGTCAAACTATGGCGACCTCTCTTGAACTATAGGCCAAGAAGAAGTTAAATTTTCTGGCCATTAAAGTGTAAAAATTGAATAAATCTAAACTATGGTCAAACTATGGCGACCTCTCTTGAACTATAGGCCAAGAAGAAGTTAAATTTTCTGGCCATTTCAGTTTTAAAATTAAATAAATCTAAACTATGGGCAAACTATTGCGACCTCTCTTGAACCAAGAAGAAAGTTAAATAATAAGACCAAGAAGAAGTTAAATTTTCTGGCCATTAAAGTTTAAATATTATATAAATCTAAACTATAAACATACTTTGGCGAACTATAGCGACCTCTCTTGAACTGCGGGAACAGTCAAATCAAATT